TCCTCGAGCTCCTCCCAACTTCCAATTGTATTTTCTGGGAGGCTTTTGAGCCAATGCCGGGCTGGCCCTTTGAGCTTGAGGGGTAGGTATTTTATGGCATGGAGATCATCTCCTCTAGCCATATGTATGTGTAGGATATAATCCTCAATCCAGACTCCGGGGTCTGTTGTTCCGTCGTATGCCTCTATGTTTACGGGCTTGAATCTCGCTGGAAATTCATGATCCAGTACCTCATCGGTGAAACATAGGGGGTGTGTGGCGCCCCTGTATTTAGGTGTACCGTTATTTTCAAACACTCGACGTGTTGTGTTGCTCCCTGGAGCCTTCTTTATTGGCCCATAGATGGACCTGACTGGGCCATCCTTTTTACGGGGATCCTTATGTGGATCGTGTGCCGGCTTGTGTGCGGCGCCGCTTGCCGCTCTTAGCTTGTCATCTAGTCGTCTATCCGACCAGGCGGCCTCTTTGTTTTTTACTGTGGGGGCTCTACGACCTCCTCGTCAAATTCGGGCAACAGCTTGCGCTTCGGGTAGCTCTTTGCTTGGTGACTATCACCGTATTTATCTGCGGTCTTGAGTACTTTACGTCTTCTGCTGTTTTGAGCTTCCGCTTCTGCTTCTTCAAACTTCTTGCAGTGGCGACGAGCCTTTTGTGGAGGTCTTTATGCTCCGGTGATGTGTCCGGCGTGAGATCGTCTGGACCGTTGTTTTTGCCGGGGATGGGTTGCTCGTCCAACTCATCCTGTTCGGACGGTTGCTTGGTGGCATGTTTGTCGTCTACTAGTTCGCCCTGCTCTACGGCTGGGTCTGTATGGGTGCTGTTATTGTCGAGGCGGAACTTCGGGCGGCGCTTGCGTCACCGTTTTGGCTGTTTTTCGGGGGAATAATCCTTCGCCGCGTCACGTTGTTCCTCGTTATCGCTTCCTTTTGTTGTATCCACCATGTATACATCGTGAGTTGAGGTGGCTTTCTAGTGCCCTGTGGGCGCTGGTTCTTGGTCGTCTCCGGCATCGTCGTCCATACCATCGTTGTCTTCGGAGTCGAAATCTAGCATGTCGGTTAGGTCATCGAGTGGCTACAAAGTGGGTGGTGGGTGGGCTTTGAATTTCTTTCTTGTCCGCATCCCAACCGTCCTGACCGTAGTCCAGCCAGGGCTCCCCTGATAATGAGAGATACTTTAGCGAATTCAGGATGTCGCCAAAAGGCGAGTGCTGAAAGATGTCCGCAGCAGTGAACTCCATGATCGGCGCCCAATCGGATTCGATTGGAAGGGGCGCGGGAGGTTCGGAGTCCGGCGAGGAGTCCGGCACCTTGGAGTCACGAGGTTCACGAGGGACAGGGTTGGTATTCGGCTCCATCGCCGTAGAGGTAGCAGCCCCCGAGGCGGTGTCTAGCCACTCATCCTCGATCGGCGCAGTCGGCTCCAAGTTAAGGGTCGGAGTGGACTCTCGTGCGGCCTCCAGGGCACTGTCCGACAGCAGAGCTAGATCATGCCCATCGTGACAGTGCGGCGTGCTCGGCTCTGCTCGAGTCCGTCAAAGATCAATTCTCCGTGGATGTCGGCCGTATAGTTCAAACTTCCAAATCTGACCTGATGGCCAGGGGCGTAGCTTCCGATCTGCTCCAGATGGCCAAACGAATTGGCCCGCAGTGCAAAGCCGCCGAATACGAAGATCTGTCCGGGGAGAAAAGTCTCACCCTTGGCCGCGTCGTTGTTGATGATCGAAGGAGCCATCGGGCCTATGAGTGACGACACAGAGGAACTCTCAATGAAAGCACCAATGTCGGTGTCAAAACCGACGGATCTCGGGTAGGGGGTCTCGAACTGTGCGTCTAGGCGGATGGTAACAGGAGACAAGGGACACGATGTTTTTACCCAGGTTTGGGCCCTCTCGATGGAGGTAAAACCCTACTCCTGCTTGATTGATATTGATGATATGAGTAGTACAAGAGTGGATCTACCACGATATCAAGGAGGCTAAACCCTAGAAGCTAGCCTATGGAATGATTGTTGTTCGTCCTATGGACTAAAACCCTCCGGTTTATATAGACACCGGAGAGGGCTAGGGTTACACAGAGTCGGTTACAATGGTAGGAGATCTACATATCCGTATTGCCAAGCTTGCCTTCCACGCCAAGGAAAGTCCCATCCGGACACGGGACGAAGTCTTCAATCTTGTATCATCATAGTCTTGGAGTCCGGCCGATGATGATAGTTCGGCTATCCGGACACCCCCTAGTCCAGGACTCCCTCAGGTACGTAGACATACTCTCCCCCTCGTTGCTATGCATCTCTATGGATAGATCATTGCGTGTGCTTAGAATTTTTTTTGCTTTCCCATGCAATGATTCCCAACAATGGGAGAGGAATGGCACCCTCACTCGGTGTTGCATCCTCCTGATGATGGTTCGGAAAACTTGACGCTGCTGCAGGTGGGAGGACAAGATGGTGGTGGCTAGAGGGAGATGAATGGCGTTGCTATGGTTGTTGCATCCTTCGTCGGGAGAAGAATGGCCGGCAGGAGTTGCATCCTCAAGGAGACGAATGGCGTCGTGCTTGGTTGCATCCTTCTGATGGGATAAGAACGGCGCCGCTGCGGGTTGCATCCTCCGCCCAGTGGAGGACGCGGATGCAAGGTTAGAAGCATGTTGAGCTTGCCGGGGATGCGTGGATTGCTGTGGAGGCAGGGGTAGTGGCCTGTTGTGTAGGCTGATCGGATCCAGGGCTCAAACTGTGTAGGTGAGATGGTCGACGAAAGTGGTACTCCGGTTGTGGCCGGAGTAGTCGATGGCGCCTTCTGGCGTCGCTCCCTCGCTAGAGGCGTCGATGTAGCTGCTCCCACCTTACCTTTCCTGCCGTGCTTCGGGGGAAACCCTCGATCTAGTTTAGACCATACGATGACGGCGCTATCCGGCGTCACGTTCCTCTTGGGGGCATTGTCCTGGAGGTGGATCCGGTCAGAGGGATCTCTGGGTCGTGTGGATGTGTGTGTGTTGTTTGCCAAAAGGCGATGTTTGTATGGTTTTGGGTCTGGTTTTCCTCATAAACTGGACCAATCTTCTTCTCCTGTTCAATGAATTTAGCAGTAATGCTAACATTAAAAAAATACACGAGATAGAGGAGGATTGGGATCTTATACACCTCGTATTTCTGTATGGTTATTGTTTTTACATATAAGTTGTGTGCATAGTCTAAATCAGGGGACATAAGAAATAATGTGGATGTTCAAACGATTAGCTAGTACATCTATGTTTGCTTGAAGGATGTAACGCGTAATTGCCTGCTGATGCCAAATGGTATAACAAATTTGCACTCTAGTGAATTTTGAATACAAATCCTATTTCCTAGAGTGCAAAACTGCACATGCATCACATACATTGCAACACGTGCATGAATAAAAGGGGATGTATCTAGAATAAAAGGGGATGTATCTAGATGTATAGATATATCCTCTTTTATTCATTTTGATGACAAGTATTTCCAGACGGAGGGAGTATATTTATATAATTAACCACTAGCAAGTAGGAACACATCCGCTAGAGTCGTGCTATGCACAGGACAAATTTTGAACGATTCACACACGAAGATTGAATACTGCTGGACATGCATATGAGTGAGAAGGGCACTAGCCGCTGGATTTGCATGTTGTGCACAACTCGGGCACAAGTATCGTTTGTGGAGCAGTTTCACATTAGCTAATGGCGCATCATACTAGTCCACGTTTAAACAGGGCAACCCTACAGATTTGGTGTGCTACATATATAAGACTTACATACACAAGAGTAGCATGCATTATCCAAAAGAGCAACATCCTAGTGTAATCCTCCAGGGCGGGGAGCCTCTGCTCATCGTCATAGCCATACATGATGCTGACCATCCTTGCAAAGTTGAGAGACGCCCCGATGAAGCTAGGTGGTAGTGTGGACTTTGTCTGAGAGAAGCATTCCCTGTTTAGATCCTCCCATTCACCCGCTATCATATCCAACATGTGCTTCTCCGCATCAGCATGAGGGTTTTCTCTCTGGTACAAATCCTTGTATGATCCGTCGAGCCCTTCCTGCAACTCATCCTGCATGGGACACATAATTTCTTTTTAGATCATGCCTAATATTGTCAATGTCAACTTGAATGCACACCCAGCAGGATATGGTATGAAATAACTCATGTAAATAATTAGTATTACTAATCACATAGTCGTGCGATAAATTTCTCGGTGTGTTCTGACCTTCGCACTCCCCATGTTATCCCAGAGCCTCATGATCTTTGCAGGGCAGGAGATGACCCTAAGGATGTGGTCGTTGTTGTCCTCTGTTAAATCATGCCCAAGCATGAATAAAAGATGCATAAATAAAAGTGGTGCTCCCGAAGTGATGACACCATTTCTTAGGTAGTCCTCCGATGTAGGAACCTGATTAGTAGATAGCCATTTTCCCTCGATCATGAATCCATCAAACAAAGTTGCCCACTGCAAGACAAAAGGCATGAATGTAATATTAATTCTTCCATTGTTATTTTCTTATATTTTATTTCATTACAATTAATCACAAATTATATAGTACACATAAATACGTGAGGTGGTACTTTTAATATATTTATTAGTTGCTTAGACAAATGAAACTAAAGAAAATGAAAAAACATTCGAGTAGACATACTGCTTGCTTGAGATGATTGATAGGATTCAGTCCACGCTCTTTTATGACCATATCAGCGATATCATTTGTGATGGTGTAAAGAGCCTTGTAACATGATATCATGTAACTCGGCAGTGACTCAGCAGCTGCAAGATAATATGCACTTTGCGCGTGAAACTTTTGTAATAATTTTTTTATATTATGTGTTCATGTATAAGATCGTGACTAACCAATGAGTTTGATTATACCATTAGCAAAAATATGCCATTCTGGGTATAAGCAGCCTTGAGTATGCAATGATTTCTCTTTTTGTATGAATGATTATAAAGCTATTAGTATATCAAGATATTTCTCGCAGAGGCCTAATGTTTATGTCAAACCAATCCTAATACCTCTTTATACATGATGTGTCAAAATTATAGAATTTTTAGTGTGCAATTAGACATATCTAAGATGTCATTCATTTACAAACAAATGTAATTATACTTCATTCCTAAAATTCAATGTTGTTGTTATTACGGGAACATCAATGCTCACATTTTGATTGCCTCATTAAAGAGAGAGAGAGCTCCTCCTGTGTGGCGACAAGATCAAAGATGTCATCCACAATGTAGACCATTGAGATAACCTTTGTGGCATCAACCCGATATCTTGAGAAGGAGAAACCCTCGAGGATAGTCATGGACCACATGTACCATTTCAGAACTTGGTCCCTTGCAGCTGGAATTTCTTGAGACAATCCCAAATCCACCCACCATCTGTGTCAAAATGAAGTTTTCATAGTAAAAAACCACCACACCGTTAATTGTGCCAATACATGAGCAAAAAAATATGTTAATCTATTAATTCCATGTGAGTTCTCTCTTATCAATATGCAGGTGGGCCAATGTCCGCAACAACTAATAATGGAAGGAGTGTATTTTATTATATTCATACCTCTTAACCTCTTGCATTCCACTTTGATGTTGCAACTTCTTCATCTGAAATTCTACAAGTGCTAGCTTCTCAATTGCAGTGTGCATGGTAGGCAAGTTCTGGAGGTAACTCAAATGATGCCTAGCCTTGTATTGCTTCAGGCTCACATGGTAGGGATGGTCTAGTGACTTCATCACATATCTCGCAAGGTTTGGCTCCAAATACTTAAGTGAAAATTTCAGGTGCTTGCTTGAGAATTCCTTTGCCTTGTAGAGTGAAGCTTCTCCCATGTTGAGGTGTGACATGTCATGCAAGCTCAGCAACCCTCTAAGGTCTTTGCTATGCCTAAGGTTGAAATCACCATTATCATTTGTGAACTTCTGAAGAACATCGTCTTCCATACACCACAAGAAGGGGTCTTAGGTGCATGTCATACATAATGAAAATAATACGTCTCATAAGAGGTGCTTCTATGCTACACACGGGACTGTTCTTTTTTATTATTAAACTTGGTTACTCTAAGGCTAATTTATTATTAGCAAAATTATCACATAAAATCACCATTGACAAAATTGCACTCAAGTTTCCAAACTGGTGTGTTTATCTAACCCAACACACTAAACTAGTATTTTACTGACCTGCCGAAACATAATATCCAACTTCTCTCATCAGCCTTAAGGAAAGGGTTGCGTCAAGTAGATCATCACCATGGAGGAGATCCACAGACGACTCCATTATGTTATCGATTTCATCCTGGAAATAGTGGTCAATGCAGAGGCGTTTGAGGTGATCAACCGTGCTCAACATTCCTTTGTTGCTTTTCGGATGTTGATGAAGCAACGCTTGAACATTCAATAGGCTTTCCCGGTATTGCACATAGAGCAAACTTCTTTTTAAAAAGAACAAAGTCTAGATAAGTGCAATATATATCATATATTATTTGCATTCAACAATTGGCGATATCATAGGAAAATAGTGCATCTAATGTAGGTTTATATTTTATTAACATAGTTGAGAAATTAACAATAAAAGATAGAGATTGAAATTGTGCTCATTCCAGAAACATCATAAATTATTTAATGAAACACACATTTTCTATGCCTCGCTGGTTCCTGAAGAGGAGTCATTATTCAAAGTTATCTTGAAAAGGCAATCCATGAATTGCTAGACTGTGGTTATAAGATTCTTGAGGAAGGATTAAATTTTTGACTCGATTTATACGACATCAATTTAGGGACGGAGACAGTATAATTAGCTGGAAAAAGGCACACAAACATGCTAATTGCATTCAAAGTACATTCTAATGTTGCGGTCTATATACCTGGAAGTATGTTTGTATCGTAAAAATATATACCTGGAAGTCAAAATCATCGGACAGCTCATGGGACACAGGCTCCCGCCCGGGATATATCACCGGCGAAGGGCGAAAGAAGCCACTGTTTCGGCCACTCTGGCCACCACTTCTGGCCACCGGCAAAGCCGAATGGAGCAATGGCGCGAAGGAGGAGAAGGAGAAGCATGCATGCGCAGCAGCCATCACTAGCCGACTAGCGTACTTAAATAATGTGATGTGTGTTACAGCTGATCGACTAGGCAGGCTACCTAATTAATTAGGTAACTAACTAGCATGGATGATATGGGATGAACAAGAGTACGTAGCAGGCTGCTGCTTCTGCTATGTCTTGGGATGGATGGGGGATATGAGCAATGCATGCATGCCCTCCAGATTTATAGAGGAGACGAGGTTGAGCAATGCCGCGTCGATCCTCCACCGAGTGGCGAGCCATGTGGAAAATTTACTACTAAACGTCATGCATGCGCTAATCAAGTTTAGTTTTTCGTCTAGGGCTAGTGCACCATGCATTCTTTGTTTGGAGAGTGAACCATGCATGCACCACGCACCATGCACCTTGCTCTGCACTCTGATGTCTAGTCTGGTCGTCGTTAGGAGACAAATACCGCGACATCGTTCGTGCACACGGTTTCTCCCTGCACTGCACCCACAAGAGCCACACACGTAAGTAGTACTACTCTATATAGCTATATTTGTACGTCCAGCCACGTGAACGTCCAGCCACACACGTAAGTACTCTGACACCTGGACAAAAGGGTCTAGGTAGTAGAGGGGGCCATCGAAAGGTCTCCAGATTGACCAGTTTTCCAACGGTTGCTGCCTGTCAAGCTCACGACAATGTAAGTATGACATGCATGCACAGTAGCTAGCTACTAATAGAGCGGTCAAAAAACATTTACCCCACCTCCACACCCCCAAAATGTAAAGTGTGTGTACAATACAACGACTGGTACAGCTTCCATTGTCTCGTGTGTAAGTGACGCTTTCTCGAATTCTTGGGTTAAATTGTTACTTTTGGTTGTTACATACAAACGCACTGTTCAGCAACGTAACATTGATGTTGAACGGAAGATAAGCGTGAAAAATAGAAAAAGGGACAGAAAGGATGGAGTCTTCACGGAGACTGGTGGCCCCGCAATGAGTCAAAGCTCTAGATTCAGTGTATCTCTCAGCACCTAAAAGAAAGTTTTTATTCAACACGAAACTGTATTTCTAGACATTTATCGACCTGAAGTTAGCTTTCTTACAAATTTAGAAAAACACTCAGTTATGTCCATGTCAGCCGCAAAAAAATTATACTGTTGATGCATCTTTTACGTTATTTCTCTTAGAAAGCAGCCTATAGGTATATATAGAAGACAACCTACGTACTACTGAACCACTGCTGCCATTATCAACTTTGACCCCCAGCTGAACCATGCATGCACAGTAGCTAGCTACTAATAGAGCGGTCAAAAAACATTTACCCCCCAGAATGTAACATGTGGGTGTACAACGACTGGTACAGCTGGCATTGTCTCGTGTGTAAGTGGTGCTTTCTCGAATTCTTGGGTCAAATTGTTATTATTTACTTTTGGTTTGTTACATAGAAAGAGCACTGTTCATCCACGTAAAATTGATGTTGAACAGAAGATAGACGGGAAAACTAGAGAAAGGGACAGAAATGGCGGAGTATTCGCGGAGACTCATGACCCAAATGCGTCAATGGCCCGGTGAATCCCTCAGCACTGCTTCATTACCAACCTACAGAAGGGTCTTTTTTTTAGAAGAGAGGCGTCACGCCTACAAAAGGGATTGATCAGCCCACTTAAGTGAATATACCACTTCACAACCTAAAAAATAAAGATTTTCTTCGACGTGAATTCATATTTCTAGCTATTTATCGATCTGTATGTAGCTTTCTTACAGTCTTAGAAAAACACTTAATTATGTTTATGCTGTCCATGTCACCCGCAAAAATGTTATACCGTTGATGCATCTTTTAACAGTCTTTCTCTTAGAAAGCAGCTTATAGCTAGAAGACATCCAGGTGGGTAGTATTTCACGCTCTCTCAACATTATGAAATAGTGGTACAAATATAGCACCAAGTTACACCACAAAAAGTCACCATCGATATCTGGTAGGAGCATGCCACCAAAACAAAGAGAATCTCGTATCAACGAGAGATTTTCCATATCTGAGGAAACAAACATGTAGAGGAGAGTGACCTTTCACTACGAGGAAACAAACACTAGTAGGTTCATGCTATTCGGTACTAACATTAACGACGAAGAATAAATTGTTACTTTTCCACACCTTTTCTACTTATACGTCATTGCATACGTTGGAAGTCAAAAAGAACATAAGAAAACGTGTAGTATAAACTGATAAAATTGTATACGTGGCATAAAACTGCAAACGTAAAAATATGACATAAAATATAAATATAGACATTTTTTTGTGGTTTTACATGGTTATGACTTGTATCTTGCATTTCTGATGCCGATTTTTCATCAGGGGTCAGGATTTATGTAACTATTTGTATATTCTATATTTCTGATGCCGATTTTTCGTCAGGGGTCAGGATTTATGTAACTATTTGTATATTCTAAATGCAATGACGTACCAAAATCATGGTTCGAAAGTAACGTATTCCGGACCCTAGGCACTGAACAGCATTTGGTGTGCGTATGCGTTTGCTGCTATATTTTGTATCAGTCATGCATGAAGTATCCGACTAGCTATGTACTACGTGTGAAAAGTATTATTTGGCTGGACACAACAAGAGTCGCTGCCTCAGCTATGTTGCTGTCTGGAGAGCCTGTTGGTTCAACGAATTACTTCTGAGATTGGCTGCAGTTCGGTCAGTGACCTAGCTATCATCACGTACAGGCTCACCCGAGTCCCTGGATTCATCAAAACTTTTGGCCATCTCCGCCTAGCTGGGCCCCAAGATGAAGCTCCGCCCTCTGGGGCCGGCTGGCTCAGCGGCCGGTTGCCAGAGGGCGGCCGTCCCAAGACTGCAGCGCTCCGGGTGGCCGGCTCCTAGCGGCCGCCCTCCAGAGAGGGCGGTAACAGGCAAGCAGCCACCACACGACTACGGGGCGACCGAGCTCCCATCAAGAGTACAAGACGAAGCATGGCTACAGTGAGGAACGACGCCTCCCACGCTCGAGACGGGCGTGGCTACAGTGCTCCGTACAGACGGAGATCTCCGCACGACGGAGCACTGTGCCGTATCTACCCTGACGTCGCTCCGGGCAGGCGGAGCCCTGTTCACCACGACGGCCTGTCGGTACGGCAGGCCAGAGGCGGGCCCTATCGGGCAGTGACCCCAGGGAAGACGGCGGAAGCTCAACCAGGCGGATTAGAGAGGGGCCAGCCTCCAGCAGGCGGCCGTCCCTTGTCCCGAGACGAGCACGCCATTAAGCTGATAAGACCAGGTGTGGCTACAGTGTCCTCCCACCAGGCGGCGGGACTGTAGCCACGCTAGGATGACCAAGCCCCCACCGCCAACGACACGGCTACAGCGAGCAGCCGCCAATCAGTCGGTGGGGCCCACCAGGCGGCGGGCCCCAGCGGTCGACGGAGAAGCCGGAGGCTGGAGACACTGACAGCCGGGCCCAGCGGCCGGCGAGGTTACCATTGTACCCCTGGGGGGTAGGCCTATATAAACCCCCCAGGCCACCCATGCAAAGGGTTCCCACACCATTAGAACTAGCCACCCCCTAGTGCAGGAAGAGAGCTAGCCTTGCCACCTTCTGCGTCTAGCATACAGCTCGAGGAGCACCATTGTATCACTTGTGCCTTAGTGATCATGCGGAGACCTCGCAGAGTAGGACTAGGGGTGTTATCTCCTAGGAGAGCCCCGAACCTGGGTAAAGTACGCCGGCGTTCGTGTCTACGCCTTATCCCGCTTCCAGGCACCGGCGACGTTCTACTCGCTCCCACCATGA